GTCTCCCACGCCACCGCCACTATGTCCGGGTTCCGGTAGGGCTGCAAATCCTCGATGTACACGTCCCCGTCCGGCGTCAGCACGACGTACTCCCCCTGATAGCACCGCAGGCGCGCCAAGATCAACCTTTGGTGCCACAAGGGCGCACCTCGGACGCCGTACTTCACCCAGGCTACCTCCTTCTCCTCTCGAGACGCCATCCTTGGAGTCCAGCGGCGCCGGCGAGCTCCTCGTCACACAGAGCCGCACCAGCAGGCCGAGCACCCAAGCTAGGCTCACGACCACGATGCCCGTCAGTAGGCCGGCCACAAAGGGCACCCACCAGCTGCACAGCACCACGTCTCGCGAGCACTCTTCTCCCGCCTCGCAGGCAGGGCACGACGGCGCCTGCGGACACTGGGTCGCGTGGCACGCTGGGCACTGCAAGTCAGGGCAATGCAGATTAGGACAGGGAGGGATCGCCGGGCACGAGAAGGTCGGGCAGCTCGGCACCGGCGGGCACCGCAACAGCCAACCGTATGTCGCCTGTGAAATACCGGCGACAGCTGTGACCAGCAACTCCGATGTCATCCGACACGCGCCAGAAAGCGCGCTCAGAGCCTTGAGCCCAAACGGGTAAGGAAAAGAAGAATAAAGATCATCCTCACGGATGCAACGGCCATCCTGATCGAACTCCGCTCAACGCTAGAACGATACCAAGGTGATCTACCAATAGATATATGTAGTCATACATACATGCAGACAAGTTTGCATATATGCATCCATACATGCATACGTATATTTCTACATATACGAATAAATGCACACATACAGACATACATGCATGCATGCATGCATGTCTCCATACATATAGGCAAGCATGCATACATGCATGCATGCATGCATGCATACGTGTATACGTGGGTAAATGCGTACGTGCATGCAAACATACACAAAAAAACCGACCTGTATCGCATACATACGCGCATGCATACATACATATATACATGTAGACATACATGCATACATACGTGTATACATATATATATGCATATGTATATATATATATAGATGTATAAAGATATATGTATGTAAGTATGTATAAAAATGTGCATGCATACATGAAACACCTACTTGATAGCATATGAAAACAAGTATGCACACAGGCACGTGCACATGCATACAGACATCCATACATACGTACATGAGTGCATACAGGCATACATACATACATGCATACAATGTTAGATGTAAGCGAATATATAGGTGCACGTGCCTTACTTACGCATGCAGACACATAAACATGTATGTGCAATTATACAAATACAAATAAATAGTTATATACCTATACATCTACACACACATACATAGATGTATACAAACATACATACATGCATGTTTGTATGTACAAGTAAGCATATGTATACACAGCTGTATTTATATAGATGCGCCCTTGTGGGGACCAGGCTCCATTGATAAGGCTTGCTGCTCCCTGCACTAGGTCCAGTTTCCAGTCTCCAACATTATAATCCTGCTGTCTGCTTCCAGATGTGAATTGCTCAAGCCCGCGCGAAGGGCTCCCCCCCAAAAAAAGGAAAAAATAATAAAAAGAGCCCGCCACCTGGGGGGGTCAAACTTTCTCCGGGGTCATGGGACACTAAAGAATGCATGAGATTCGCGCCCCCGAAGCCAGAATCCCAGACTGCGCCAGATTCGCACCCTCGAGGCCATAATCAATCATCAATTTTACAATTCTCGCGTCCCCGAGACCATACTGGCAAATTACGCTGTGTTCGCGCTCCCGAGACCATGATTCATCGCAAAATAATTAATATTCGCGTCTGCGGGGTAATACTCTCTCGGAAAACACCACTGTAACTTACGCGTTCTTCGCGCCCCCGAAATCATAAAACTTGACAGAGTATGCAATATTGCACCTTCGAGGCCACAATCTGACATAAAAGGCGTCCAAGACGGAACAAGATGCCTCCGAGACGGCCCAAGAGTGCTCCAAGGCGCCCAAGATGGTCCGAAGACCGCCCAAGAGGCCCCTAAGAGGCCCCCAAGAGCGCTCCAAGAGCACCCCCAAGATGAGCCCGAGAGGCCAACATCTGTGATGCTCCTTAGGCTGTCGGTGGATTTTGGCACGCTCGCCTTTTCGGTCTTCCGACGCTTCAAGACGGCCCAAGAGGCCCTGGAAGACCGCCCCAAGACGGCCCGAGAGGCTCTGAAGAGCGCCCCAAGACGGTTGAAGAGGGCCCCAAGACGGCTCAAGAGATCCCCAAGACGGCCCAAGAGGGCCCTAAGACGGCCCCAAGAGTGACCCGAGACGGGGGACCCAAACCAAGTGGCTCCCGTTCGGAGCTCCGACGCTGCTTCACGACGGCGCCCAGGCCTCACAACATAACTCTTGCGTAACCCATTCTCCGAGAGAGGGGGGCCCGCGGGCGAAGCCCTTAGGGATACACATGCATACATATGTGTATATATACATGTATAGATATACATGCATAAATGTCACGTGTGTATAAATATATACACACACGCATAAGTATAATAATTAAATGTGTGTATGCTGTATAACACATAATGTACATGTACTGATAGAATCAGAACTATATACATAGAACTGATCCGGCCAGACCTTCGGCCGCTGGGAACCCCTGGGTCCAGAAGCGCGCCTGGAGGGCCCAAGACGGCTCCTGATGGCTTCCAAGAGGGCCCCAACCTGGGCCAAGAGAGCTAAAAGACGCCAGCGATGGCCCCAAGACAGTCCCAGAGGCCCTCTTTTCGCACCAAGGCAAGGCACCCCAAGAGGCCTCCCAAGGGAGCCCCAAGAGGCCAAAGTCGCAAAACCCCCTTGTGTAAAATGTAAATATTCAGCTTCAACAACTTCTCGCCTTCCCGACGCTCCAAGACGGCCCAAGACGCCCCCCAGATCGCCCCAAGACGGCCCAAGAGGCACTCAAGAGGCACCCACAATGGCACAAGAGGGCCCCAAGACTGCCCAAGAGGCGCCCAAGACGGCCCAGGTGGGCCCCAAAACGGCCCCCGAGAGGCACCAATGACCCCGACAGAGGCCTCCAACAGGCCCCAGCTCCTCAAGAGGCACACAAAAGGTCCCAAGAGACGCCAGCACAGCCCGGAAGACACCCCAAGATGCCTCCCAAGGGAGTCCTAAGAGGCAAAAATCGTCAAATCCCAATTGATTCATGGACATGTTCAGCATCATCAACTTCTCGCCTTCCCGGCGCTCCAAGACGGCCCAAGACGCCCGCCAGATCGCCCTGAGACGGCCCGAGAGGCACTCAAGAGGCCCCCACGACGGCCCAAGAGGGTCCCAAGACTGCCCAAGAGACGCTCAAGACGGCCGGAGAGGGCCCCAAAACGGCCCCCGAGTGGCACCAAGGACCCCCACAGAGGCCCCCAACAGGCCCCAGCTCCCCAAGAGCACAAAAAAGGCCCCAAGAGACGCCAGCACAGCCCACAAGACACCCCAAGAGGCCTTCCAAGGGAGCCCCAAGAGGCCAAAACCGCCAAATTCCCTTATGTAAAATGTAGATTTTCAGCATCATCAACTTCTCGCCTTCCCGACGCTCCAAGACAGCCCAAGACGCCCCCCAGATCGCCCAAGACGGCGAGGCACTCAAGAGGCCCCCATGACGGCCCAAGAGGATCCCAAGACTGCCCACGAGGCGCCCAAGACGGCTCAAGGGGACCCCAAAAACGGCCCCCGAGAGGCACCAAGGACCCCGACAGAGGCCTCCAACAGGCCCCGGCTTCCCAAGAGGCCCAAAAAATATTCCAAGAGACGCCAAAACAGCCCCCAAGAGGGGCCAAAAATGCTTCCAAAAAGCACCCTGCAAGCCTCTTGGACCCCCTGCATGGATACGGCGACGGTCAGAGAATATATATATATATATATATATATATATATATATATATATATATGTAAGTTGTGTGTATGTATGTACTAGTATGATGTATGATGTATGTATATAGTGATGTTTTGTTAAGGTTTAGTATGTGTGTATTGCATGCCATGTATGTATGTAGGTATGGTATGTATGTGTTGTGTCTGTATTGACTGTATGTATGTAGATATTGTATGTATGTTTATGCGTGCAGCATTGATGTATGTATGCATGCAGTGTGTATGTATGTAGTGTATATGTATGTATCGTATGTATGTCTGTCGCATGTATGTCTGTAGTCTGTATGTTGGTCTGCTGTCTTGTCTGTCGCATGTATGCTGTACGTAGTATGTATATTTGGATGCATGCATGCATGCATGCATGTATGTATGTAGTATGTATGTATGTATGTATGTATGTATGTATGTATGTATGTATGTATGTATGTATGTATGTATGTATGTATGTATGTATGTATGTATGTGTATGTATGTGTATGTATGTGTGCATGTATGTGTGAATGTATGTATGTATGTGTGTATGTATGTTTGTGTGTATGTATGTATGTATGTGTGTTTATGTATGTGTGTATGTGTGTATGTATGTATGTATGTATGTATGTATGTATACATGTGTGGATGTATGTATGTATGTATGTATGTGTATGTGTTTGTACGCATTGTATCCGTAATATATGTACAGATATATGCATATACCGATATCCATATGCATGTGTTGGTGTGTGTATGTGTTTTTATGTCTAAACAAATGAAGACGTATGTATACTTGATACACAACTATGCATATCCAAATTAGAAATCGATATAATTGTGTATAGAAATGTATTCAAATTTGTGCATGTGCATAGAGATAGTCATACGTATACATAAACATATATATATATATATATAAATGTATCTACATATGTATAGATATGTGCGTGTGTGAATATCCCTCTCTCTCTTTTTCTCTGTGCCTCTCTCCCTCTCTCTCCCCCTCACTCTCTCTGTATATATAAACATACATATACATATACATATCCGTCTGATTTATGGGTTCTCTGGATTCTCTGGATTCTCTGATGCGGGCATCGCCGGCGGCGCAGTCCTCGTCGGCGTCGGACCAGGGTATATCAGACTCGTCGTCCTGATGTGGTTTCCTCTTGTGGTCGGCGACGTCGGTGCAGACCTGGAAGGCGGCGGCGAGCACGCGGTCTTAGAGGAAGGTTAGACGGAGGAGAGCCGCTGGGCGATGAGTATTGAGAGAGGAGAGCCGCTGCAAATC